GGTGGCTAAGGAAGCCCGATCTCGCATGGCCAGCAGGGGATTAAATCCTAACCCGGAGATATGAAAAACTCATGTGCTGGGACCAGCAATTGGTGTAATGGCTATGTCGCTGGACTCCCATGTAGTCAACCATGGTTTGAGTCCCAGTTCCGGTGTCTTAAACTCATGCCAGGCACATGTGCATGCTTGCCTAAGATCTCGAGAGAATGGAGGAGAAGAGATTATGGCATGGCCATCTCCCCGGGGGGATGATTTCTGACTTTCTGTCTCTCTGGCGAGTACACCCAAAAAAAAAAAAAAAAAAAAAAAAAAAAAAAAAAAAGAAGTTTTTGCCATGGTGTGTGTGTGTTCTCTGGAGAGAAGGTCAAGTGAGAAATCACCCAGAGGGATGGCCACATCACAGTCCCCACTCCATTCTCCTCCTGGGATCTTAGGCACAAATACACATGTGCCTGGCATGATTTTCAAACCACCAGGTCCAGAATTCAAACCGCAGTAGACCGTGTAGGAGTCCAGCGATGTAAATGCTATGTCATCTGCTGACCCTCAGAAAAGTATATTTTCAAAAAAGACACATTCAATGAAAAGTCTCTCCTCCCATCCCTGTCCTCACCACCCATATAGCCTCCCTTGAGACCCCACTGAGACCAATTTGCTGAGTCTTCTTCCACAGATGGTCTGTTAAGACAGGTAAGTCTCTCTCTCTCTCTCTCTGCCTCTCTGTCTCTTACTCTCTGTCTCTCTCTACATATGTAGTCTCCATTCTTCTCTTTAGCTTTTATGTACTCTGGATGGTGCCATACTAGACAGGCAACTTAATATTTTGCTTTTTTCACTTAATATGCTTTGGAAAGGATCCTCATTTTTAAAAGCCACATAGTGGTATTTCTGCACAAAGGCTTTGGTGTAGGAAGTTTTTGACTAATATTTGAAAATGATGTTTGCATTTTAATAAGGTATACTGTCTTCACTCCAAAGAATGAATGAGGAATGGTCAAATTTCAGAAACCTGCCAGGTGTGTGTGAGCACAAGGAGAGAGAGGATGGAGTGGGGATTCAGTCTGTTTCAGCCCGACTTTACAAAATTCATGGAGCTCACACCTGGGAGGAGTTCCTTTGCTAGATGCTGGTGTAATGATAGCCGACAGCTATCTATATAGCTCTCATCCCGGGGCAGCTACTGTTCTAAGCACTTCATGTACATGAACTTATTGAATCCTCACAACAGCTTGACAATTAGGTGCCATAATGGATTACTCTCATTTTACAGGTCAGGACTCTGAGGCATGAAGAAGTTAAGCAACTTGCCTAAAATCATGTCTCTCCTGAATGACAAAACTGAGATTGAACTCACGCCGTGGGACTTTGGGGCCCTTGCTCTTGTTCACTGTACTATGCTGCCTCTGAGGTGTGTAAACATTTACTCAGTTTCATGCCAGGTCCTGGGCTTCCCACTGAGGGATAGAAGGGTGCCTAGACATAAGCCCCACCCTGAAGGAGTTTGTGACTGTACCGACATGGGCGCATTTACGCCAGTAGAAAGATGAAATGATGGGTGCTGTAACTGAGCAATAGGCCAAATGTTCTGCAGGCTAGAGGGATGGTGTGGAATGCCAAAATGCCACTCGGAGGAGAGTGAAGGGAATCAACTTTTAGGGAGCAACTATTTCACACCATCCACTAGGTATGCTGAATCCTACAAACACTCCTGTTATCACTACCAGTTCATAGATTGAAAAAGTGTGGCACATATACTCTATGGAATACTACTCAGCCATAAACAACAAGATCCTGACATTTGATAGAAAGTGGATGAATATAAAAGATTTATTGCCGAGTAAAGCAAGCCAGGCTACGAAAGAGAGACATTGTATGTCTCCACTTAATATATACCAACTGACTGCACTTTATAGCAGAAACTGAAAGATTAGAAGATAGAGAAGCATGGAAAATTGTTATAGATACCGGAGACAGTATAGGAATAGGGTGGGAGAAGGTGGAGAGTGTGATGAGAGAAATTAAGGAGAAAGAGAGGCAAGATATTCATGGGACACAAAAATGGATTGTTGTCTCTTGATGATAATATGTATAGTATCCTCATCTGGACCACTGTACGTTTGTGTTGGGTAAATTAACTTTATAAGCCAAGTGATATACAGTGATTGAATGTATAAAATAAATTAAAAAACAAAAAACCTTAGTTAGGTCCCAGCTAGTGGCATGGTGGTTAAGGCGCTGGATCTCACATGGCTGACTCTGCAGTTCAAGTCCCAGAGCTGGTGGCTTGAAAAGCACACAGACATGTGTGCATGTGTGCCCAAAATCCCAAGAGGAGAATGGATTGCCACAGGGCAATCACTCCCTTGGAGGCGATTTCTCACTTTCCCTCTCTCTCTGGTCATCACATGTGCTCTATAGCAAACAATGAAATAATAATAATAATAAAAGTGAAAAAAACTACTTAAGGATCCCAGAGATGTGTGGAAGTGGTAGAACTGGGATTCCTTCCCAGGCTCCTCTAACTTAGAGCCGGGGCCTTGCCATGGGGAGGCTACCAGCTGGCAAGGTCTCCCCATGCCCTTCGTGCCAGCCCTCCTCTGTCAGGAATGTCTGAGATCTTCAGTTGGCTTGGTGTGAACCACCATCCTTGGCCAGGTTCTGCCAGCCTATTAGTAAGCCACAAGCTCTTTGAAGATGAAATTGTCTGTAAAAAGGACTGGTTCCCACAATTGTAGGCCATGTAGCAGGGACAATTTGGGAGTGGATTATGGGGACAAAAACGTAGGACCCTTAAGCAAAGAGGCTGAACTTCCAGGCCCTTCCAAAGTTTTTATTCTCCAGCCCAAGAGGAAGCCACCATCAAGGGCAAATTTTCAAACTTCAGCATAAACCTCTCTTCCCTGAATTTTGCCACAACTGCATTCTACCTGTACTATAATTTACCCAGTATTTTCATTAATTGACTCACTCAAAAATTATTCACCCTATGGCCAGTAAGTGGCATGAATGTTAAAGCGCTGGACTCCCACACAGCCAACTGCACGGTTTGAGTCCTGGACCCAGCTGCTTGAAAAAACACACCAGTCACTTGCATGCACGTGCTGAAAATCCCCAGAGATGAATGGAGGAGAAGGGACCATGGCGTGGCCATCCCCCACCCCTGCCCCCTTCCCGGAGGTGATTTTTCATGCCTCTGCTCCCTCCTGTATCTCTCCACTGAATGCATAAGCTCTATAGCAAAACAAAGCAGAAGAAAAAATTATTTATCCTAAACACTTCTGAAGTTAAAAATTCAATATGCTGGTTGCATTTCTTTCTTATACACATTAAAGTAAATGAGAGTTACTAAAACAACAAAAGCCAAAGCTTTCTGTGGACCATCTCTTATGAGAAAACCCTCTCTCTCCCTTTTGGGAACCCCAGGTTAGAGCACCTCTCTAGCTAATGAGCAGAGGACTCACAGACTCCTCTCTTCCTCAGGACTTTGGACAAGCCCCTATTCCTTTTCTGGTCTCAGTTTTTCCATCCCCAGAGGCTCTGCAGTACTTGTACAAGGAAGTGGTAAAATGCAGACTGAAGCCAGATGGCCCAAGGCTAGAAGGGCCCTGCCCTTTCCTGCAGTAAGGCAAGTTACTCAGCCCCACTCTGCCTCAACTGCACCATGTGTGGAATGGAGATTCCACCTCAGGGCTGCTGAAAAGCTTGGCGTCTTCTCTAAGGAGCCTACCCTGACCATCCTCATGTATTTGCCACATGTCCACTACCCATGGCAACTTCTGGTCTCCTAAGTCTACCTGTCCATTTTTTTAAAATAACACTTTTTTTAGGTTTTTGCCAGAGGGCTGATGTACTCACCAGAGAGAGACAGAGAGAGAGAAAGTGAGAAACCCAAGTGGGATGGCCACACCTAAATCCCTCCTCCTCCATTCTCCTCTCTAGATTTGGGCATGCACGCACACATACCTGATGTGATTTTCAAGGTACCGGGGCTGGGACTTGAATTGTAGTCAGCCACGTGGGAATCCAGGACCTTAACCACCATGCCACTTGCTGGCTCAAAAATAATTTTTAAAAATTATATAGACACCTCTGTCTGGATTCTCATCAGATGCTTATGTTTAATATCAATGAAAGGAGGCATGAAAACAGGAAATAGTCAGACCTTTAGAGAAAACTGCATGCCTGAGTCAGAGGAAGAAGGGAGACTTTT